GGTTTGGGCCTGGATGGGAGAGACCACTAGTGAATGCTAGGAATCAGCAGATAGGATTGTGAAAGAATCTAGCCTGACACCCTAGAGAGCTGCTGTCAGTCAGACCTGACCATGCTGGGCCAAATGAATCAGTATCTAACTCTGTAGAAGGCAGATTCCTGTGTACTGTAATCCCAAATTACAGTAAATGTTGTCAAACGTATTTTAAAAGGACACAGAAATACATTCTTTGTGATGGGGCGTAGCCATGCCCTCTGTTCTCCCTTGCCTTAGCGCAACTCACTCTATGTGGCCAGAATTCTAGGTGTTCGAGATACAAAAGGGTGAAGTGAAATGGTGTGCGCTTGAGATTGTCATTATAATGTCAGAAGGTTCGTTAGGAGTTTCAGGCGGTTCCAAATTTGGCGCGGAAACAGTGGGAGTCGAGTTGTTCAAACCATACGATATTTATTCAAATTCAACAATGGTGTGTCAATGACAACTTCCGCGGGGACGAACGAATCCCACTTATTTAACTGTCCATCAAATAATATATCATGTTTGTTATAACTAAAGTCTCTCCTTAAAACTGGGGTGCCGGACCAAAACGCGCCTTGTCGTTGGGTTTTCTCAGAGGTGCGCTCCTTACTGCACATATAGTGCCACAGCATGGATGGCGGGCCCAATCCCCCTCCAGGGTTGGCTTGTTGAAGGTGGAATCCAGCCGCACCACCTTCTTCCAAGGACTGCGTCCCCTCAGGTAAACCACCACTGTTCATTCTGTGGTTTCTCTTAAAGTAATTCCTTCCTTCTCGGTCACTGGGTCTGGTAACAAAGGACTGCATCCCCTCAGGTAAACCGCCACTGTTCATTCTGTGGTTTCTCTTAATTCCTTCTCGGTCACTGGGTCTGGTAACAAGCCACCAACCTTCAGGTTAAGGAAGTCTTTCAGCAGGTTACCCACATCCTCCTCCGTCTCCCTTTTTCTTGTCTCAATTTGAAAGTCCTGCGCTCCTGTCCCAGCTTTTATGTCCTCCTTCCATACATCTATCCATTGCTCCTCCATCTTCCCTTTCCCTTCCTCTAACAGACACACTTCCACTTTAACACTTTCCTTGTCTTCCTTCACTTTTAACACTTCCCTCTCATCTCTCTCCGCTTTAACGTCCTTGTTTTCTGGAGGAGATGGCACACTCCTATCATCCTGTCCTTCACAATAAATAAACCATTTTTTCCTTTAATTACTGAATGTCCTCCATAGAGATATTAATGAAAAGCTTGCACATTTTGAGATACATAATATACAAGAGATCTTTGAACTTTGGCAGTAGCTTATCATGGCAGATTTGTTTCCCCCTGCACACACAGTAGCTAGACCACAGGAGCAAATACAGAATCAAAAATATATGCCATGATCATTTTGGGGGATTAGTCTGACTGCAAGAAGAGTAGATGTATTACTGTATGAATTCCAATAGGTAGTAGTGCAGGATATACACATGCACAAGTCTGGTTGGGCTAGCTTCTGGGGACTAAGCAAAATGGGAAATGTTTTTAGGACTACAGCTTCCAGAAGCCCACAGGTAACATAGCAACTGCCATGCTGGTTATAGGACACTGGGAGCTGTAGTCTAAAAAGGCCATTTTTCTTATGTCTGGGTGAGGCTAAGAAATTTGGAGATCCTCTGCCTTCTTGGGGAAGGTGGGAGAAAGGATTAGGAGATCAAGAAGAAGAAGAAGAAGAAATTACATAGGTTTGTCTGTTGGCATAGACACAGCCCAGTGGCCAATCCCTACACTGGGTTGCCATGGCAAAAGGAAAGGCTAGAGCTATGGTGCCGGCAGTTCAGTATGCACACAGGTTTATGGTGCTTAATGTGTCCATAATTTTTCTCTGTGCTCAACTTTCAGCTTTTTGTTTTGGGCTACTTCTGTCTCATCAAAATCCTCCAAAGCATTTCAAAATGCAGAAGAGGCCACTGACTTATACACAGAGGGGATGTCAAGAAGGAGAAGTCTGGCCATTGAACTACCAGGGGAGAAACTGTGTGAAAGTGGCTGGATTTCCAGCAAAATTAATTTAAAAACAGAACTTTAAAATTCTCACTGGACACTGAGGCACCCCTAAGAAAGTGGGGACAGGAGTAGAGGCTGTCATGTGTGGAGAAATGACCTTGCTGGAGCGGTAACTAGCAAGTTTGGCACCTGGGACAAGCAGCAATGTATCCTACCCACTCTACCTTGAGGCAAGGGTGCTTGTCCTTCACCAAGAAAAAGGAGGAAAATCCTCCACCGCCCTCCGAAGAGAAATGAGTTTAGCCTAGAAATGGGCTAGCCTAATATGATACAGACTGGTTGCAAATCAGGTGACAGTTTTTCCAACCCTGCTGAGGGATGCTACAGACTGAACACCAGGAACTTCTGTCTGAAAAGCATGTTTTACCACTGAGGCCAAGTGATAGCCAACCTTCATGAAGCAAATTCCTCTCAATAAAAATCTAAGCAAGATGGCAATGCCCTGTCATTCTTAATCTCTGAATTGGGAAAGGGATGTTTGGCAGCTACAACATGCCCTGGGACTATGTATCTCTGTAGTTGCAATATATTCATGCCCATTGCCTGCTTGATCATCCTCCAACATGGTTCGTTGTGAGAAACTAGTTGTGATGGGGGCTACATAGACCTATATTGCTGAAACTTATCCTAGGGTTTCAACTAGGTCCTCCCCCCAAAATCCCCCCACTAAGTACTCTGTGTTTATGACCTCAGCCACCATTCTTAACATTTTCCTCTGCATCCAGTTTAGCACTGTAACCAGAGTGGGACCCCTGGGTTTGATCCAAGGCAGCAAAATCTGCTTCTGGAGCTGTGCAGATGGTTGGTATTTGCTGCTGGAAGGTGATATACCTTGTCAGGGTAGGTTGGTACTACCTTCAGCACAAAAACAAAAACAGAAAACAGCATGGCTCTTCTGTGGTAAGACTCAAGCATTCCTCTACCCTCTCTCCACGCATGGTAATCTCACATGACCCAAGCTTAACAGAGCAGCAAAACCCAAGGCATCAAGATTCCTAGTTTTGGCTATGATCTAGTGATATTAAGATGAGCCATCTATGGTTGAGCATGGGATAAGAACTGCACCACTCAACATCTGAGGTAAAGGTAAAGGTAAAAGTTCCCCTGCTGCACCGCTGAACATCTGAGGTAAAGGTAAAGGTTCCCCTTGACAATTTTTGTCCAGTCGTGTTCAACTCTAGGGGGCAGTGCTCATCCCCGTTTCCAAGCCATAGAGCCAGCATTTGTCCAAAGACAATCTTCCGTGGTCACATGGCCAGTGCGACGTAGACACAGAACGCTGTTACCTTCCCACCAAGGTGGTCCCTATTTATCTACTCACATTTGCATGCTTTCGAACAGCTAGGTTGGCGGGAGCTGGGACAAGCGACGGGCACTCACTCCGTCGCGTGGATTCGATCTTACGACTGCTTGGTCTTCTGACCCTGCAGCACAGGCTTCTGCGGTTTAGCCCACAGCGCCACCACTTCCCTCTCAACATCTGAAGATGCACAAAATTGAGGTCAGATGTTGTACAGCTCCTAGGGACACACGAGTCTTGCCAGCACCTTTTCAGTTTATTTGCGAATGAAGGAAAATGTACTGTATAGCCTTAAACTTCGTTGCCGGTCGAGAGGTTCTTTAAATTTCACAAAATCAGGCAAGGAGTTGAAGACGACCCAGGTTATTTATCCAGAGAATTCACTAATTTTATGGAATTACATGATTCCAGGAATATGGAAGTATAATGCATGGCTAAAAAAATAACAGGACTGTGCTTGATTCCTGACAGTTAGGTTTTACAGTAGTTCATTAGGCAGCAGTTTAAAGGTTTCAGTCTGGAATCTTGGGAGGCAGGTGTCATAGAAAACTGGTGCAAGGCATTATTAAAATTAAAAGGCTGCAGTCCAGTAACAAGGAGGTGGTGCATGTCAATTTCAATGTGCTGTCTCAAAGCACAGAAACCCAGGCATTTCCAGCATCATATTTAAAACATGGTACATTGAACTAATACGTGAACTGCAGAAATAATGAGGCAAATGAAGTTACAGGTATGAATTTTACATTAAACGGATTAATATTATATGGTATGGAGGAATTTTAAATACCCTGTCACCATAAATTTTTAATAATTATGTGCTCTAATTTAGTGGTGCAAGGAAAATTCTCCCACCCCCAAGCAACTTCTCTGCTCCCAAGTCTAAAGTTGGTAATTGCCTACAAAAATTCCTTGGCAGTCCATAAGACGCTGGGCTCAGACGGGGCGGAGGCAGAATCCCAACGGAATAAATATGAATGGAATGAAACCAGAAGCTGCGATATCCCGCTGCCTCCTCGGAGGAGTAGCTGGTGAAGTGATCATTAAGTAACCTGAAGAACAAATGGCTGGGTGCAGGATCGAATCATTAAAATATAAAAAATCAAAATGATAACAATCGGCCATTGCTTCTTCTCGGCTTCAGGGTCTGATCACAAGAAAAACGACTCCCGCCGTCACTACTACGCAGGCGGCTGCGAGCGCTTTCTCCGATCCGCTCGCGATATGTCGGAAAAGATCCATGCAAGCCCTAGACGAGCGTGTGAGTGAATGCCATTCGCATTCCCGCAGTTCTTCGCAAGGAACTTCTTTTCCCCCCTCCCTGCTCGCCTGGCCGGCTCTCTCTTCCCTCAGGCTCAACAAGCCTCCCTTTTCCTCAAGACCCTACACAGCGTTTGACAGAATGGAGCCCGGCGCCATTGGCTAGTGCGACGTTCCATAGAGGAAGCTGCGAGTTCTGATTGGCTAAAGCGCAGCGCCCTATTCTCGTGCTTCACTTTTCTTGTTGGGGTTTTTTTTTACACACACATTATCCCTTTCTTAGTCTTGTGTGTGTGTCTCTCTCTCTCTTTCTCACTCACTCCCCCCCGCTCGTTCTCTCTACCCCCCCCCCCTTCTCTTGGGGCCCGGGCAGCGCGCGAGCCCCGCCCAGCCTGCGCCCCGTGCGGTATATATTCGGCGGCGTTGCAAACTGGGCTGAGCAGAGGCGGTTGGGGCTGGAGTTCGAGGGCTTGGGAAAGTAGAGGCCGTCAGCCGGCTATATTGCTTGGGTGGGTGGGGAATTTTTAAAACTGAATTATTATTATTATTATTTTTGCAAGATTCTTAATTTCATACCCCTCGTGTTTTGTTCTGTTTTTTTAATTTTTCCTCCCTCTGGAAAAGAAAAGGCCCTCGGAAATTGCCCGAGTGCCGGCAGTGCGTTGCTTTGATTGTGCACGGCCAAAACCGCGGGCTGCGATCGCCTCTTCTCTCGTTGCACTGCGGGCGGGAGCGGATCGCCTCCGGCTCCCGAGGGCTCTCGTCGCCTGCATTGTCTCTTCTAAGCACCCCGCTCACGCACACCATGAAGGCGGTGAGTCCTGTGCGACACCCCAGCAGAAAGGCTCTGGCTGGCGGCTGCTGTTGCGGAGGCGGCGGCGGCGGTGGTGGCGACGGCGGCGGCGGCGGCGATCTGGCTCTCCGTTGCCTGGCCGAGCATGGCTGCTACAAAGGGAGTTCGTCGCCGGGCGAGGAGCCGGTGGCTCTGTGCCTTCAGTGCGATATGAATGACTGTTACAGCCGCCTCAGGAAGCTGGTGCCCACCATCCCGCCCAACAAGCGGGTCAGCAAAGTGGAGATCCTGCAGCATGTCATCGACTACATCCTCGACCTGCAGCTGGCCTTGGAGACGCACCCGGCGCTGCTCCGGCAGCAGCAGCAGCAGCAACAACAACCGCCGCCGCCCCCGTTGCACCCGGTCAGCTACCCGGCAGGGCCTCCCAGGACCCCGCTCACCGCACTCAATACCGACCCGGTAAGAGAAGGAGGCGAGGAAGGCGGCCGTCGCTCAGCGCCGCTGTGCCCGACGCCTGGGCTGGGTTGGGCGGGAAGGGGAGAAGGGAGGCGAGGAAGTGAAGCGCTCCATGCCGAGGCTGGGGGCGGAGGCGGGGGGGACGGCGACTTCGCCTCTGCGGACGGGAAGAACCACCCGGCGTGTGGAAAGGGCTCCTGGCTCTTTGCTGCCCTGCCCTGCCCGCTCCCGAGCCCCGTTGTGCGCCTGGTTCTGGAAGAGCCGACGCGAAGGAGAACCCTGAGCTGACGATCCTCCAACCTGTTAAGGAAGGGGAGGGCTTCACCAGGAGCATGTTAGCTCCTTCGATGGCTCAGCCGGGGAGGCTGGCGGTTCGGGGCAGACCCCGCAAGACAGGGTCAAAATCTCCCTAGGCTGCCCTCTGCCCGAACAGGTTGCGCGATGGCCGAAGTGTTTCCATACCGACGTGGAGCGGCTGCTTCTAATTAACGCCCCCTACTCTCTCACACACGCACACACACGACGCTCTTTGCAACTTCACCTTTCCTCGAGCCCTTTTCGCCCGGATCCTCCTCTGCCTCTAGGTAGCCTTGAAGCCCTTGGGGCAGGGACTCCTGCCTTCATGTTGGCGTTTTGCACACTACCTGGCACAGGGTGGTAGCCCAAACGCGCAGGGATGGTGTAATCTACTCAGTCTGGAAATAAGGAGCGTCAGCCCAGATGATATAGCTTAATTGGCTTGTGGATTGCAAGGCCAATGTGCTGAAAGGAGGTTCTAAATGGCCAGGGAAATTGGTTTCCTTACACCTGGGTGTAGGTATGAAATAACAGAAACATACCTACGCAGTCTTAAGATGGCACATGTATATGTTGCCAGGCATTGTCATTCAGGAACTGTGCATATTTCGATACATGATGCACTGCATAGGCATTTTGTAATGACTGGTGGGCAACATAGCATAGTCAGCCTTTGTGTTGTGCTTCCGTGCCAGCTGTACACGCATTCTCTGGAGGAAATTTCCATTTCTTTCCATGGGGATTATTTACCCATAGTTGCCCCAATCAGGAGAGGAGAGTCTGCACAAATTACCATCTTCCCTGTGTGTAGCCAGCGTGGATGCAGATGCACATCTGGGTGAACATCTGCATCCTGGTGCCGAGCAGGGCCTCACAAATGTTTTGCCGGTTGCCTCTCTGGGAGGTGATTTGGCTGCATGTTAGGAGGTGGTTGGAAATGGCTAGTCCATCCATTCATTGGTGGTAGCGTTTGTGACTGGTGCTTCATTGGGGTCAGCTTGGCTAGAAAGAATAGTACTACTGAAGGGAGATGGCTAGCTGAGGCGGAGATAACTCTGTTTCAGGGGTGACTTAGGAATACATGAAATGGAACGTCCATGAATCACAATCTCTGGAAGTGAAAAGATGCTCAGAGAAAGAACTGTGTGGCCCATACAATCCTCACAGCTCAGCGGAATCCCTGGATATTCTGATATGGAGACCCTTCCTGGGTGGTATTGTCCTGGGAAAAGATAATCCCACTCTGGTGTGAGTGGTTGTCCCTGTAGGTCTGTGAAGCAAGAGCTTGTCACATCTGGCGGCTTGCAGCCTGTTGGTCTGGGAGGAACTCTTGTCAAGAATAGCCCGACAGCTTCCCTCTCAATGTACTGGAGGAGAAGCTATAGCTGGCCAGATAATGGAGGAATGTTTGTTTATAACTTGAGTTTGTGATCCACACTCACCCTAATGTCATGCTCCTGTTCTGTTGTTCTTGTGCAGGCTGGTGCTGTTAACAAGCAGGGGGATAGTATTCTGTGCCGCTGATCTACACTTCCCAGGTGAGTATCTTCTCTTGAGGCTAGAGTAGCAGCAGGGCTGAGAATGTGGTGTCTCTGCCCTGTCTGTATGTATAGTACAGAACCTGCTTTACCTAAGGCTGCAAGCCCTAAGCATCCTTGCTTTGGAGTAAGCCCTGATGAAGTCAGTGGGACTTAGATTTGAGTAAATGCAGTTGGGATTAGGATGCAGTTCCATTTGTTCAGTGACCGGACACCTCAGTCTTTGACATTGTGATTGAAATCAGTTGAGTTTTTAAAAAGATTGGAATTAGGATGCTAGGTTGCAGTCCACCAACAAATTCAGCTAGAGTGCTTAAATTTAAGTCAGTGTAATCTCTATGGTTTAAGGCTTGAATCGTCTGGCTTTATAGTTTTGTGATGGGATGGTGTGTCATTCCTGATCAGATTTTTCTGCTTAATTCCAAACAGTTACATAAAGGGGGTAGGTCAGTGTGAATACATTTCATCTAAATGTATGCTTTTTAAAAAGTGTTTCCATGGCTTGATCCCAAAGGGACTGAGCTCTCTGGTTTTTTTCTCCTCAAACGAAAAAAAAAAAAAGGACTGCTGCATTTTAAGGACATGAGTCTGGTTTGCGAATCAGGCTGTCTCTTTGGCATCTTCCTTATGAGCTGCCTTTCTTTTATCAAAACAGTGAATAAGCCATCATGGAAATGGGGTTGGTTTGCTTGTATGGATTCTTCTTCCCCAGTTAAGCCTGTGGTCTCAGCCCATGTACTAGGATATAAGTCCCAATTAACTCCATGTTGTGTACAGTACTTCCAAGTAAACAAGGGTGCTTATTCCCTTGCTTCGGTGCCTGAGCTCCACAGTAACACGGGAAGAGGAAGAGGAGGAAAGTGCTGTTTCAGGGAAATCCTTTCCCTCTCTTCCCCTCTCTGGAGAGCTTCTAGCACGGACTTGCAGCTGTGTGTCCCACCACCGCTTGGTCTAGCCTGGGAGCTGTGATTGTTGTTTGACCTGGTTTGTTTTGGGTTGTTGATCAAGCATGTCTTCTGTTTTGCTGGTGGCGCCAGCCAGTCTGGAGCAGAATGGTTCACACACCCCCTCTATTCATTCCTCTTCCACAGGTGTGCAGCAGGCAGATCCTGAGCCAGAGAAGCAGAAAGAAAGACACATTAGAGAGGGAGGGGAAATATCAGCCACTGGGCAAAAGGAAAAAAAAAAAAGAGCCCTCAACTACTCCAGAATTCCTTCTGTACTTCCTTTAGAAAGGGGTGGGGGTGGGGAAATTTTTTCACGACTTTGCACGTTCATAGTATTTTACACACACACATCTCTTTAACTCATTTGTTTTTAGATCAGATGTGAATTGTACACTTGTCTGGGTGGGAGAAGATTTAAATCTTCACCATAAGGGTGACTCTCCTGTTGGAGAGAAGATCATGGACAAATGGGAGTTTAGAAGTGTAACTTTAATACGCTGAGCAGCTGAAATCCTGAAGCTTTACTAATCTACCAGAAGCATTGTAGATAATTCTTGTTTTTACATCTATTGTTTAAAATAGATGGTTTTTATTATTTCCTTGGGAACTTTCTTTTCCCTACAGGAATGTTACATACTGTATAGATTAAAGGAAAAAAGTGACATTTCATACTATGTATATAGAGAGAGGTTCTATAAGTGTAAGTGAGAAAAGTATATGCTTTAATAGACCTACTGTAATTATAAAATATTTTTAATTAAATATTTTTTTGTAAATATTATAAAGCTGTGTATGTTTTTCTTTTTAAATCTGTGGGGATATTTAGGGAAAGATGTTTTCTGGCTCAAGTGCAAAACTGCTAATAATGACAATATATTGGATGTTGAGGGGTGTCTCTGATTTTCCTCACCCCCAATCCCTTTAGATTCAGAAGCTGTAGGTAGAATTGGTCCTGCATGAATGCATGTGATGTCTAACCACAATAAACGTGTTCTGAGTCCATAACAGATGTGGCTTTTTTCCTTTTAACTCAAATTAAAATATGTTTGTATCATACACTTTTGAAACTACTTTTTGTCTGTTTGGCGCTGGGGTTTATATTGGAGTATGTGCAAAACAGCATTGAGATGTAAGATTTTATTTGTTATTAACTGAGATTACTACTTTTTCGGTATGGGTACAGTACTGAGGTTTAATAAGCATTTATAAAAAAAATCTTTTGTTGCTTAAAGAAAACACTGAAATTTTTGTAACACCAAGGGAGGGGGTGTTCTACCCCAGAATTTTTAGCCCTGTGGCATATCACCTTGGAAAAAACGGATTAAATTTTTTTTTTCTGCTTGAAACCAAAGGGCAAACTCAACAAATGTACAGTTGCTGTTTCTTTCATCCAAAGACTATTGATAGTGATACTTGGAGGGTAGGGTGGGACAACAGGGAAAATGTCAGTCTAATTACTGGTGTAAATCAATTTCAAAGAAGTTGTGTAGACCAAAAACAAAATGCAAAATCAGATGACTGTATCAAAATTATTTTTCTAATCTACAGCAACGTTCATTTCATTGCAGCTCTGTTACATCTGAAAATTCTGTTTAGTCTCTGTTGTGTGTAACTTCTACATGTAAACATTAAACTAGATTGACGTGCCTTGTGCTGTGATCTGCTTCTTTCTTTCTTCAATTCTGCCAGGACTTTACATCTTGTCCACTTTCCTTCTATGTGGTGTTTAAAAGTTAATTTTACAATGACAGTTTGTATGATCAGCTCCCACTTTGTGTCCAGCTTCTTAGAAAGTTGCACATTTTGTGTGACCATCAGTAAAGCTACATACCACGATGTTTCACAGAGTGGGTGAATGAAATAAGATTTAATTGGGCACTTACGTATATAAGTGCCCAATTGTTTGTGTAGGGCATGGTGTGCTTGGTTTTTTGTTTTTAAAAAGGAGGAAAATTTCTTTCAGATTTTAGTAAGTGTCAAAGTTTGGGGTGTAAAGGATTTTTTAAATTAAATATTTGAAGAAATAAACATAGTGAAAGAACTGTAGCTATTGGCAAGAGTAACGTCAGCAAAATCAGTTGTTTCTTAATCAAAATGCTTGGTAGTAAGAGTGAGTGAACAAAATGCTGACAGCATAATACACTCTAGGTGACAATGACAAAGATCCTGGTTTTTGAGCTTTGTTTATCTTAAAACCATGAGGAAGACAAACTAGCAACTCTTCCAAATCAACTATTCTTGGAAACGAAGAAATTAAAATGAATGATAAGTAGGTATCAGGAGAAATAGAACTGGTTCCTTTTACTCAGAGTTATCCTTGAATGGGGGGAATAAATCAAGTGATTCAGCTTTTCTGTTAGAGATTGCCACAGTACAACGCAGACTTGAGATTAATATGGGCTAAAGAACAATACTTGCTTCCACACAATGAGTTCTTGTCTTGTTGCTGTGTGTGATAAAATTACCGTACAGGTTTTCAAGGTGTGAGTTGTTTAAGGAATAATTTACCACTGGCAGCCTCCAGTTAGATTCCATAACCAAGCAGAGATTTGAACCCAAGCCTCCTGAGACCTCGTCCAACACTGCCCTACCACACCACATTGATTGTTGAATTTGCCTTGTGGGTATTTTCACACAGGAAAAGCAGAGGGAAATAAACAGTTGTGATCTTTTTAGCTTGGTCACAGTTGTGTTATTATTCCTCTTACATCTTATTCTAAGAGCCAATTGAAAAGAGCCACTCCAGCGCTTAGAAGTATGGAGGATGGGATTTAAATGGCCTTTCATGTCCTTTGCTCATTGCCTTCAAACCACTGCTACTTCCTTCCTATTTACATTTGGGAGCTCATTTTAATAAGTGATGGTAAGAATATCTTTTAATAGATAAACTTTCCAGTGTGGATAGTAATGAAGAAGAAAGTTGTTGAACAGCTTCATTGTTCATTTGAATGTGGATTTGTGTCAGTTTCATTCTTTCAGTCACTCACATATGGAGTGGAAGAAATGCAAAAAGCAAAAACTGGGGGAAAAACCACACTCTAAATGTGTCTGCTTAAAATGACCTTGCTCCATCCAAACCCTGAAACTATTTCTACTCTCATTAGTTTCAATTAAAAAGGCTCCTTCTGAAGTGATCTAGTACTGTCATGCACTGAAAGCCGCCTTCTGAGCTCCTGACTGCTCAGTTTGATGGTTATCATTCCTTGCATAGTGACATTGAAAAGCAAGTACATCCTTATAAATGAGAGGTTTAGTTACACTATTAAAGCAGTGCCAGTCGGCCAACGAAAGCAGACGCACTGTGAACAAGCAATGGAACTTGCACAAATAACTGAAATTTGTTATTAAAGCCTCACTGTGCAAAGAGTACTTAGAATTAGTTTTAACAATATGATTCACTCGCATAGTTCTACGAAACCTTTAAGAGTTTGTTGTGAACATTTCTCTGTATTCTGCAGAGGGATTGCATTTAGTATATCATTGCAAATAGTGAAGATGACATTTATTGTCTAGTTCTTATTAAATTGTTGTAGAGCTGTTTGACAAAACATTACTAGCGTATCATTTGATACGTAAGGTTTGTAAAAATGAATGATGTTGCACAAGGTTGAAAAGGAGAGTCTCATAAAGTGCAATTGTGGGCGTCCATAGTTTACTTTTGAAGGGTTCCTTACCCATTTAAAGTGTAGCATAAAAATCTGATTGTTTGTGACTAGGAAAACAATATGCTAAAGTTCAGTTGGTAACACTAACATCTGCCCAGATGTATGGAAGTCCATGTTATACAGATACAACTTAAATCCAAGAAAGTGCTGCTAGGATTTAGTCTTGGCACCTACCGTGGGAAAGTATGGGGGAAAAAAATTTGATACACTTCAGAGTGGGAGCGTTTAGTCCTCTGATGTTTTAGACCTCAACACCCAGAAGCACAACACTTACATGGCAAATAATAAAGAACTACGGGAATTGTTCAGAACATCTTCAAGACTAACATTTCCCTACCCCTGTTTTAGCCAAATTACTGCCTGGGTAACACTGGCATGAGGAACTCCTCCTGCACTGGCCTAATTTTCCCCAGCAGAGGGAAGGATTGTGCAATGTCACTTCCCCTCCTGCCATCAAGAGCCAGTGTCCCCCCAGCTTAAAATTTTTCCAGGGCACTTTAAAGGCGGTTACTTGCTACCTTGAACATGGGAGAAGCCAAGAAAATAACTGCAGGAAGTTCGTCAAAGTGCCCCCTCCTTCTTTGCTACCATTGACTTGACTGTTGCAGGTTGGAAGGAAGAGGTTGGTGTGTGTGAGACAAAGCCAAGGCAGGGGCTGAAGGTGACAACATGAATAATCACTTGAGCATCTACACACTACCTACACTGGTTATCCATGCAGTATCAGCACAGAGAGTTGAGAGAGAGAGAGGGGATCGGATGCTGTTTTTCCAAGGATCCCCTTGTACTGATTTCTGGACCAACAATCTATATGCTTCCTGTGGTATGTCGCTGATTCCTTACCTTTGTGAAGCAGATGGCTAAGTTGTGTCTGAATTAGACTAAGGGAAGAAAGCCTCTTAGATGTAGAAGGAAAATTATGTATTGTTATTTGGACATAAAACAGGCTGAGTTCAGTGAACATGATAGTTCCTTTTGCTTGATCATGGGAAGCAGGTTAGCAAAGCATTGCCTCACACTTTCATTCTTTGCTCCACAACATTCTGGGAAAGGACAGGCTGGGTGAGCAGATTTCTCTCTTTGTAGTCCTGACTGATCTTTTTGTTCTCTGAATGCCACTGATGAACTGGTCTATTACTGTGTGTGTCTAATGAGACGTAACAGCAAGATTCTGGGTTACTGCAGTCCCTATACAATGGTACGGGCACAGAGGTGTTAGTGTCAAAAAGCAGCTTATATTTGGTTAGGAAATGGAGCTCACAAATCGCTTGTCAGAAGCTGTCCTGATAGGAGAATGTTTGGGCCGCAGTGAACACACAGTGCTGGAGAAGCAACTGGATATGTCCCCAGTTACTGCACAGTCATAGACGATCCATACTTGCAGGACGTACTGCTTCTAAGAAAAAAAAGTACTGTACAAAAGCAGCATCATTCTGTTTCTGACTTTAAAGTGTTTCCTTCTTGGTTAAAGAATATAAGCGTAGGTTTCACTTGCTGCGTGTCATGCCACTGTCTGGATTTTCTGTTTTCTTGCATGGTTTTTTTGGCCATATTTATACCTTTATGCAAAACATCTATTCTCCTTATATTTACAACAATAAATGCACAGAATTTTCAGACACAGTAAATTTTGTCATGTAATTTCCTGAGAGTCATACACAATGTTTCCAAATACTGTACAAAGTGTTTCCACCACACATACTCTTTTTTTTACATAGAAATCCAGATGATCTGTGGGAAGACAAATTAAATCCTGATTTCCTCTTCTTTTGTGGTTTCTCTGCAATCCTGCATAATGATATGAGCTAGTTTTGCAACATGCTAGACGGGGGATACACAACCTTTCAGTTCTGAAGGCCCCATCTAGTGTCACCCTGTTTGTCTGTCTCCCTCACAATCCATGCAGATGTGATTGCGCTCTCTCGCTCTCACTCTCTCTCTCTCTCACACACACACACACACATACACACCAAAATTGTGAGGAGTTTTTTACCTCATCCTGCTCAGGATTGCTAAGGTAAGGGTGAGGAAGATAGATAGATGAAAGTTTGAGCACCCCCTACAAACAATCCCAATGAAGAGATGCTCTGTGTCTCCACTGCCTTCAGTAGTAAGGAGGCAGTGATCCCCACAGGGAGAGGTGAGTGGGGTCCAAAAGCCTTGAAGGGGTATAGGTTGTGGATGGAATTCTATAGAATTTTAACTTTGGAGTTCACTGCTTCCTTCCCCAAACAGCATTTCTAATCTAGAAAACAATACTCAAATCAACTGATACAGTGTTCTGTTGAAGAGTTTAATTTATATACTGCTCTTGTCATACTATCTGGAAAAATAATCATTCAGATGAAATCCATTTAATGAACCTTAAGAATTCTCCAAAGACCCAAGTTGCCTAAAATAATAATAATTAAGAATTACATGTAGTCACTTTGATTCTGACTTAAAGCAAGACTTTCCAGGATTTCCAGGGTACAGAATACTCAGAAATGGCTTACCGTTTCCTTCTTAGCATGCTCTGAACTGTGAGCTTACCCAAGGCTACACAGGGTGGCTCTTCTCCTGACAGGTATAATGGAGAATCTAACTCACAATGCCTGGTTCCACAACCAGGTACCTAACCCACTGGGCTATTCAGCCAGTAATCTAAAATATTTGTCCTTGAAGTGTAAGACTAGAGGATAGTTCAATTCTAGTAAAAAGTATGATGATTCTTGCTCTTGAACAATGTGCAGGCCAAAGGAAAAATGTGTACACATTGATGTATGTAAATACTAAGGATAACCCCTCTGTCCTGTTTTGAGTATCTCAGCTGTATTTCAGAGATCTCATGGGTGTTACTGTGGTTGGTCAGTTAGCTGATATCTTCTGTTACTGCCTTCAGCCTAAATCTCCATTTTATCTGTGAAGAATCCCAAACCTATAGAATAAAAGAAGCAGGAGGGTTTTTGTTTTGTTTTGGTTTGTTTGTTTGTTTGTTTTGTG